GTGGGGGGAGCTTGGATTTATCTATTTGTTTTGCCTCAGTTTTCTGAGTCGAGCTTCCGGACTCGGAATCCGACTCTGAATCCGATGGGAGGGAGAAATTCACCAATTTGGGATTGTGTTTCTTGGAAGTGGGCGTCTCGGCAGGGGTGCAAAACGGCCTTGTGTGAAAGCGGGGAGGGAAAACTGTTTCAGGAATTATGGAAGGAGTGGCAGGGAAAAGAAGCGTTGGTAATGTGGTGGAGGAACGGGAAAACAGGCGGCTGAAGAGCTGAAAAGAGGACTTTGATTTGGAGAAGAAGTGAGACCGAAAAATAACGGTAGTTTGGGCCATTGCCAGGTCGAAAAGTTGCAGAGCTGCCGCAGCCTGTATGTGTACTGTGTCTTTCTATTTTGCCGGAGCGCAAGATCTAGAGGACCACAAAACGACACGTATCAAAGTTTTCGCGCGTTTATTCGGGTTTGGGCCACAATCCGTTGAATTTGGACGGTGTAACTATTAATCATAGTGAATAATTTCTTTGAAAAAATAGAACTGTTGAGATGCCAAAGGTACATGAATAAGTTAAAGGGGGTGCCACAAGTACATCGGGGTGTACATAAGGGTGTCCATAATGGACACCCGGCACCTCCCCATTGGATGAAGTGCAGGTGGAGTCGGCACTTCATCCAACGGGGAGGTGTCGGGTGTCCCTTATGTACCCCCTAATGTACAAATAGCATTTTCCTAAGTTAAAAATGATGAAAAAGATATGTTCATATGTGCGAAACTCTGAATATTCACTTTCAAGATTTCGTTTCTTTCGTGATCAAAGAAGGATGAAAGTCAGCTTCTAAGTCACCTGTGCGATTGTTATTGCTCACGAACAAGTTAAAAAAGACGTGTTCATATGTGCGAAACTCGAAAATTCACTTTTCAAGATTTCGTTTCTTTCGTGAACAAAGGACGATTGCTTCCAAGTCAGCTTCTAAGTCCCCTCTGCGATTGTTATCGCTCAATCACATTTTCTTCCATTGAGTGATTAATTGAGAAACTTCAATTTACGATGTATTGTTTTCATTTAAAAAAAAAAAAAAGAGAGAGAGTGAGTGAGTACTCTTTCACTTACAACTCTCCCTCTCTATTTTCAAAACTATATACAAATAATAGGCATCGATGCGAGTCAATTACTTGGAGAAAAAAGGACAATCTGTGTATTTGAATCTTGGCACCCAAAAGTCTGTCGGTACAAACGATCGAGGCATGTATTCGAAGTTTTATGAAATTGGTAAGGCTAAGTTTCCATCATTCACTATTTCTTCTTTGATCTTGGTTGTAGAAGTGGTGTGTAGTGGTTTTCCTTGTGGTGTTCGTTTGAACATGAAAATTGATAGTAGAGTAGTGTCTTTTTTTCTTTTTTTTTTTAATAACTGAAGGGCAGTTGTGCTTTGTATCGACAACGGTTTTGGACGGAATTCATCCAAGAGGGCAACAACTACTAATTTTATGAAATGCGAAAGTCATGAATGTCAAGAACTAAAGATTGAGGATATAAGTTAAAAAATTGGGGACATTAATCGTAATCTACCACTTTTAAAGAACTCATGTCTCTAAATTTTTTCAAAAATTGTAAACAAAAAGTAAAAGGGAAATTATATTCACACCACGATTTTTGTTAACTTCAAGTCTTCATCGCATTTCAATTTCAATAAAAGGTTCCCAATTTTCGTTTCATATTTACATTTATATCTCCAACTTTGTTTGTTGCATTATTATTATTAAACTTCAATTAATTTGATTATATTGTCTTTGACAATGATTCATGTCTAAATATTGAGTTAGTATGAAAAATATATTTTATTGAACCTTTTTATTCAATATTTATCTTGTTTATTTATTTAAAAATATAATGAAAAATAAATATTTTAATCATTCTCAGCCATGTTTGACCTCATTTTTTTTTCAAAATTCATTTTTCACTACATTTTTTCCATAAAATAATTTTACATATAAACTGATTTTTTTTTAATTTTTTAACCACACTTTCTTCAAAAAATTACTATCCTAAAATAATTTTCTTCCAAAAAATGGGTCTTAAACAGAGGGTTAATGTATTTTTTTTGGCTCATTGGAGACATGGCTAATTAATTGAAGTTTGAGGATAAAATGACCAAAAAAGTCAGGGACAAAAGTTCACAAATAATTTAAATTTCAGGACCAATGTGGTACATATAAAAATTTGGACGTAAAAAAAAGTGTCGCCTGGTTAAATTTCAAATTATTCTGTTCTTTAGGTTTTCAGAAGTCGTCCGTCGTCTCTCTCGAAAGGTAAAATTGGATCTTTCGATGCTTAATTGTATACTTCAATCATTACTTGTCACGACACACAAATCATACATTTATTTTGGCGAATTTTTGGACTTCCTTTGCAAAATGCAATTTTCACATTTGTGTGTTTCTGTAATTTATTATTGTGACAGGAGATTGATTCCTTTGGTTTGAAATAGAGATAATGGCGGAATTGAACCTCGGTATTCTCATAGATATAGTGGATGAAGAATGGGCGAGAGACACTCTGCCTGATGATGGTACTTTTTCCACTTCCAATTATTTGTGGACTAGTTGTTGAATTTAGCCCTTGTTTGAGCTCCATTATTTGAAAAAAATTGATTTTGGGAATAGCATTTTTTGGAGAGTGTGTGGTTAAAAAGGGAGGAGTATTTTTGGGTTTACACATAATATTATTTTATTAATATTATTTTATTGATGGAATGACGAATGTGTGGTTGATAAAATGTGTGAAAAAATGAATTAAAATTTAATGGGGACCAAACATGGGCTTAATCTCATCGGATATGATTTTCCAAGTTAATTAACTAATCCTATATGTTTCATACTTTTAATAAAACTCGAATTTTATGTTTGCCTTTTCAGATCTTCCATTACCACCTGTACTGGCTTCTAGAACGGATGACACTGAAGACTCGAGTATGTTTTTTCCTCCATCGATCTGAGAATTTAATTGGAATTATGCAATAAGCAGTGTATTTCCATTATCCGGTGGTTATTTTGATGTTTACATTCTAGGTCCCGGGGGGGGTGTTTATGTTCTTAATTCTGACGAACAATTTATGCATTCCAGTCACCAGTTCACTCTTGAACTAAAAGCTGAACTTGCTTGAGGGAGAGGGAAGGAATGGGGGTGGATAATCACACTTAACGGGAATAATACTATATACTATTTGGCTGCAAAAATATGAGTTCTCAAACTTTCTTGAAAAGATCAATTTGAATTTAGCTGGAATCATCCAATTTGGTGTCTGAAGCCCAATTGCATAATTCCACTATCTTTTGAGAGATATCTGAGAATTTTGACTTATTTTTGTGTTTTGGCATTTGGCAAGATATTGGGCCATTGGCAAGTGGCTTAAGTCAAGAAATGAAGAGTAGTTTTTCCCTTTTTATTTTATGTGTTTCTCTACAGGATCATACATATTACAATAAATTTTCTTAAAAATGCAGTCTTAAGCTTGCTGGTGGAAAGATAATGGTAATTGGCTAGCCATAACATGATTTTCTTGAAAAACCCAAGCGAAAATATGAATTTGGAAAATCCTGTGACTCATCCCTTGGGTTCAAATTTATGAAGACGAGTAGTATTGATATTTTTCCCCAAGTAACACAATTTTGTAACAGTTTTTATTAATCCTACATCACAGAACTAATTTCCTAGCACAGATTTGAAGGATGGACTTGCCAAGTTGACGCCATTTACCATATTTCCTCCATATATCTGACATAAATTGAAATTTAAAATTTCATTGATCAGGTCAGTAGGCAAAAAGTGGATAAAGCATATCTATTTTGAAACGATAATATTATCTTATCGAGGATAATTTGAAAAACAACAGTTTGATATAAACACGTAATCTTGGATATGTGTAACTTTCACTGTTATCTTTGCACACTGATATATACTTCTATAAAATAAGCAATTCTTCCACTTTAATTGAATAATTTTCTGTATTTTTGTATTTTATAGATGTGAAAGATGTAGTTGTTAATTATCATCTTTAGGATATTAAGCCCCCGTTTAGTTTCCAGTGTATAATTTGATACATTTTTCTCTCGTCATTTTAACCATGCTCTCTCTAATAAAATAATATTACATGTAAACCCAAACATTTTCTCTCTTTTTTAACCACATATTATTAAAAAAAATCACCATTTCAAAATACATTATCCCAAAAAACTCATTATAATATATCCCAAACAGGGGCTAGCTGTGGTTTGGTGGTGGAGAACATTTATATGCACTTTTGAACTCTTACCTTGTTCATGTTGTGGTTTGTTTTTGTTGTTAATTACAGAAATTGATAAAATTGACTAAATAGTTTTCACTACAAACTTACATTAAAATTGTATGCTTAAGATGGGAACAGTTGAGCGTTTTACTGAGGTTCAATTTTAATATTTAAAACTTGTAAATCTCATGTACCATGTTGCTGTATATATCTTTCAGAGTTTTGAGCCACGTTGCTGTATAAATCTCATGAACTATATTGCTGGTTTCATTCTGAATCAACTCTTGAGATACTTGTCCCTTTTTCTCATTTTTAATAATTAGTTGGCTTTAGAAAACCAGCAATAAAAAGTATACCTTTTTTCTCCTTTTTATGGAGAGGGATAGACTTCATTACATTCAAGAGAAAGTAAACTTACACAGTACAACTATGATTATTAATGCTTCGGATAATCTCAACTTTAATTTTATTGTCCATTGATTCAAACTGCAGTGTGATGTTCCAATGGCTCTCTGTATTCCCTAAAGCTATATATTCACTCTCTTTCTCCAAAACATTTCCTGACAGATAAAAATTATACTAAACGAAGAGAGAAGAAAACCAGAATAAAACAAGGCAAAGAAAAACTGATATCTCGTGGACAATAGAAAAATGAACTGGAAGGATAAACATCATATATAATTGTTTATGCATGCATGTGAAGTGATCACCGAGAGCTCCCTTCAATCCAAAGCAAACGGAAGAGTTGCTCCCATATCATGCACTGGTTAAACTTAAGCCTCAAAATCTCCACATTAAGCATAACCAAATGAATGAGATGGCAGCTCTAACCATTTATCAGCCCTCGACATTGGACTGAAAGGAGCTCTTCTGCTCTCTCTCACACAACTATATATTATGAACTATTTGTTGTGTGAAACTTCTCTCTGTTGGAAAAAGAGAGTAATTCAAACGAAGCAGCTCAAGGCATATTTTGCAAATGGGACTTGGCTCCTGCTTTACCATATACACTTCCTTTCACCCCCCATAGAAGAACTAAAGCTGGTTAGAGATTTCTATGAATTAAATTGTATGTTATCTGTATTAAATTGGAGAGAGAAAAGGCACCTATCAAAAAAAAAAATTGGAGAGAGAAAAGGCAGTTCTCATGGAACCTTTTTACTTCCTTTTATTTGGGTTTTCTGTGCCCCTTGGGATCCGTAGTTTTGAAGTTAGTTCACCATTCAATCCCATAATCAAATTATATTGATCCACACCACATTTTGTTGGTTTAATTTTCGTATAAGCTGTTTTGATGCTCAGCTGTTAATCAAGATTGTCATCTTCCACACAATTTCAGTGATATTATTTCTTTCGTGTTTTCTTGAGTTAGTTCCTGTGGCTTGCCTATGATATATTCAATTTTGTTCTCAGATATGGAGATCCAACAAGTCGAGGTAGACACTTGGCATGATCTTGCACTGGGTAACCAATGAGATGTCCAGCAAGGAGGGAAATATCACAACGGTGTTTGTCCGTAAATGAACCTGGCTTTATCCTACAGCTTATAGCTTCTAATGGTCGAACAATTTCTGAATTCTTGTAAGTAATAATTTGCAACATATTTTCACTGAAGAACATATTTAAGACGGACCCCCAGCAGCTATCTTAGTACATTGCAAGCATTTGTTGTAACATGTTTATGGATGACAGGTCTCTACCGCTTTCTTCTTCTACTACATATAATGACTTGTTAGGACATGTTTTATGCAATAATGTCCAATTAAATTCCCCAAAAATAAAGATTTTTACTTTTTATTATGACAACTAAGCAATTTAGTTAAGACTTTAGGATTCACTATAAAACCAGCAATATTGTCCAATTTAATTCACCAAACATAAAGATTTTTACTTTTTATTATGACAACTAAGCAATTTAGTTATGACTTTAGGTTTCACTCTAAAACCTCGAAACAAGAAGCTATAGAAGCAAAAGATGTAGCAGAGAAGCAGAAGCGTGACTGTTGTCATTGCTCTCTCTGCAACCAATGTCGCTATTACAAGTTCGGTTTCGTTGTACTTCAAGAAGTTACAATAATTTTTTTTTTCTTTTCATCGGATTGCCTGTTAGGTGCACCGGTCTGCCCGAAGTCACACATTGAAAAGCAATGTATTTATGCATCATAGTCAATTCCAAATGTTTGAAAATCAGTTATATTGTATTTATGGTTTGCTTGTCGGTTTCAAATCAATCACACCACCTTTTTCTCTAAGCAAAAATTGTATCTCTAGGATTACTTTTGGTTTTGATATATACAAACAAATATTTATTGGTAAGCAAATAAGAAAACAACCATGCTACATGTACATTGTCCTTGACATGAAATGTTACATTGTTCCATGTGTCGTGACATGATTGGCCAGTTTGAAAATAAAAAATAGTTTCCCGCCCATTCACTTTTGAATTTGCAAAGGCATGTCAACCATCATGTACAAAATCAATGTACAAATGGTTTAATCCATAAGAAATGATTTCTCTTCAACATTTCTTTTAAAGAAAATATCGAATTAAGAGCCCGTTTGAATCCAATTTTTTCTTAAAAAAAAATGCATCTTGAATAATAGATTGATTGTGAATGTGTTGTTAAAAAAAGTCATGATTTTGAAAAGTCGTCTATCTTAATAAATGAATTTTAAATGATACAATCCATAAATGAAAAAGCGAAGAGAAGGACTAGATTGTTCTCAGCATTTTTTTTACTTTTCAGCACTCTTCTTTAGAAAAATCAAATTAGATTTTGGGGGAAGCATGAGTTGTGTCATAGATGATAGAACATTGTCGAGAATTTTTTATAAATATTTTTTGTTGACCTCAAAAAATGAATCAACAGATGTCGGGTCCGTTAATGCCAAGTCAAGTACGGTTCCAACGAGTTCCTAACGAAATGATGATAATAACAATAAGGAAATGGACGCGGGAGGTATTTTGCGGCGATAAAAAAAATTATTCGAGTTACGATGGGCGGAACAAAAGTAATCAAATTAACAACGATTATCGAGTTGAAACCAACTTAATCTATGTAATCACCGACAAGAATATGGGGAAGGATATACGAAAATGTTAAGTAGGTTTCTTTCAAGAGTTTTAAAAATGATTATTTCGAGCATATCATCCCCCCAAATCTCTATTTTTCCATCACCCACCCCCAACCCCAACCCCCCAAAGAGTTCAGTGCAAGATAAGAATAATTACAAAGCAATAGGTAACATGCAATGTAAGCAAAGTGAGAATTAGAAAGTGTCTTTGTCTCTATTAGTGGACTCATCACTGTAGCCAAACCAATTTTGCTTCACCAATAGACCAATGAAATAATAATAATAAAATAATAAATAAATCGTCAAAATACAGCTGCATCACGGCAAAACTCCATTATTGCCACTGCCACGCACCCCGCCTTATCTTTCACCCACTCTACCACCTCACTCACTTTTACTCCACAAAAGGCTATAGATTTCTTCGAAATCCCTTCACCTCATTTGCAAGTTTATTCGTCTACTTTCACTACCTTCTTTAGGCCAGCACTAGTTGGGCTTTTAGGGGAGTTTGTGTTTGGAGTCGTACTTTTCTATTGGTAATTTGGTGGAAAGGGTGAAAATATGAGTATGTACGGGAGAGATCCGTGGGGAGGGCCGCTTGAGATCAATGCGGCGGACTCTGCCACCGATGATGACCGGAGTAGGAATTTACAGGACTATGACAGGGCGGCGCTGTCACGGCCGTTGGATGAGACTCAGCAAAGCTGGCTGCTGGGCCCTGGGGAGCAGAAGAAGAAGAAATATGTAGATCTGGGGTGTATTATTGTGAGCAGGAAAATTTTTGTTTGGACTGTGGGTGCAATCTTGGCTGCGGGACTCTTGGCTGGATTCATTACTTTGATCGTCAAGACTGTGCCCCGACACCACCACCACCCGCCTCCCCCGGATAATTACACGGTGGCACTTCGCAAGGCGCTCATGTTCTTCAATGCCCAGCGCTGTAAGTGAACAGTATGCTATAGTACTTTTTATTGTGTGATGAAAATTTGTTCAATTGGGTCACAGTTTCTCTAAATCTGATGAATTTTGGTATGAGGTTGATAGTGCATATATAAATGAAGGATTTCATATTCTATCTATCAACAATTACCTCTAATTATGCCTCTATCATATTTATGGGAATTTTTTAGTTTTGTTCACATATACTGCTATAATTTTGAGCATATATGTAGCCAGGTGGTTTTGATAGAAGACGATAGGAACCAAAAGTAGAACAGTAGATTCGATATGCCGCAAGCTCATAATATGTTTAAAGTGTTTGTTCTTTTATTGTCAAATTGCAAGTGATCACTTCATTTTCTGAATAGAATTATATGTTTGTTATTAACTGTGGGTTGCCTGAGATGATAGATGGATCTAAGAATAGACACTGCATTTGACTTAAAATCCATGGGCGGCCTTTGTTTGAAATTGAAATGCACTTTTAGATTTGTCTTACCTAATAGTTTAAGAATTCTTACACTAATGCCAAGATTATAGTTAGTCTCATTGGCTGTGGTGGATTTATCAACTTATTGCATTTGGTCTAATGAATTGGCCATTTTATCTAATTAGTAATGGATTTTTACAGCTGGAAAGCTTCCGAAGCACAATAATGTGTCATGGAGGGGAAACTCTTGTTTAAATGATGGGAAGTCTGATAGTGCAACTATATTTAAGGACCTGGTAGGTGGCTATTATGATGCTGGAGATGCGATCAAGTTCAATTTCCCTCAATCTTTTGCCATGACTATGTTGAGTTGGAGCGTGATAGAATACAGTGCAAAGTATGAAGCTGCTGGGGAGCTTAACCATATTAAAGATATTATCAAGTGGGGGACGGATTACTTCCTCAAGTCTTTCAACTCCACTGCTGATTCCATAGATCAGCTAGTGATGCAGGTAAATACCATGGAATTGTTGATAATTTCATATTACATTGTCATATTACACGTTCCTATGGATGGAAATTTAAAAAATGTGCTATGTTTTACACCTCTAATCTTGTGGTTTTCCTTTAGCTCATTAATGTACGTTTGTCTCTCGGTATAAATTAAAAGGGGGAAAACGTGTTGTATTCACTCCATATCTGACCACTTGGCTTCCATTAGAAGTAGTAGTTTTACTCTCATAAGTTCTTGCTTCCTTGCCTGGAGTTAAAATACCAAATTTTGCTTTATGTACGTGCTTGTTAAAAGATTTTTCTATGATTTTACTTGGTAGGTTGGAAAGGGTGGCACTTCGGACGATTCAGATCCGAATGATCACTACTGTTGGATGCGCCCAGAAGATATTGATTATGATAGGCCAGTTGCTATATGTCATAGTTGCTCGGATCTTGCTGCGGAGATGGCTGCTGCTTTGGCTTCGGCATCCATTGTTTTCAAGGATAACAAGGCCTACTCACAAAAGCTCGTCCATGGTGCCAAAACCCTCTTTAAATTCTCCAGGGACCAGCGTGGTAGATACAGTTCCGGTAATGAAGCTTCAATTTTCTACAACTCCACCAGCTACTGGGATGAGTTTGTGTGGGGTGCATCTTGGCTATACTATGCTACTGGAAATTCTTCCTACCTTCAGCTGGCTACGACTCCTGGTCTTGCCAAGCATGCTGGTGCATTTTGGGGAGGCCCGTATTATGGCGTATTAAGTTGGGACAATAAGCTTGCTGGAGCACAAGTAAGTTTCACTAACAAAATAATTTTTGTTTGTTTTTATATGTTCTTGATTTGGGTTGTAGCTACAGAATCCACTTTGCGCTTATAATAACTAGTTCTGTTATGTCGATTAAATATATGATGTTCTTTCAGTTAACAACCTACATTTGAATTCCAAGGTTTTTCAAATTGCCAAATTCACTTTTCTTTGCCTGCAATAGGATCTTCTGTTTCTGTGGCTTAAAGTTGCATTCCAGCTGTTCTATTTGTTTAAATAATGTATGAATGTTGAAATAGAGTGTCCAATTATTATATTGTGGTCTTAGGAACAATATTTGCACCTTTTCATGATTTGATGTCATCTGGACTCTGAAAGTTTTCTTTCCAAAGCATGTAGAGTTTGTAAAATTATCTTTTTGATACTGTATTTAGGTGCTTCTGAGCCGATTGAGATTGTTCTTGAATCCTGGCTACCCTTATGAGGAAATTTTGAGAACATTTCACAACCAGACTGGCATATTTATGTGCTCCTTCCTGCCGGATTTTACCACATTTAACAGAACTAAAGGTAATCAATCTTGCCTCATTGCCATGATTGGAAAACTAAATATTTCAAATTCCTTGAGGTTTTTAACTTATATGTTGGGGTTTTACAGGAGGCATGATTCAGTTGAACCATGGAGCACCTCAACCTCTTCAGTATGTAGTCAATGCAGCATTCTTGGCTACGGTGTTCAGTGACTATCTTGAGGCCGCTGACACACCTGGGTGGTACTGTGGACCCCATTTCTACCAAACTAGTGTTCTCCGGAAATTTGCTGAGACCCAGGTGAAACACAATGTTGCCTTCTCATCACAACACATTTGGTTGGTGATTATTTACATTGTTTTTTCTTTACTTACCAGATAAACTACATCCTCGGCAAGAATCCTAGAAAGATGAGCTATGTTGTGGGCGTTGGAAATCACTATCCAAAACACGTCCACCATAGAGGTGCATCCATACCCAAGAACAAGGTCAAATATAACTGCAAGGGAGGATGGAAATGGAGGGATTCAAAAAAGCCAAACCCTAATACCATTGTTGGGGCCATGGTTGCTGGTCCTGATAGACATGATGGATTCCATGATGTTCGTACAAACTACAACTATACAGAGCCGACCCTTGCAGGAAATGCTGGTCTAGTTGCTGCACTTGTCGCCCTATCCGGAGATAGGACTACAAAAATTGACAAGAACACGATATTCTCTGCAGTACCACCAATGTTCCCCACACCTCCACCGCCACCAGCTGCTTGGAAACCATGAGTCGCCATAATGGACCTCCGTCCTTTTGTTTTTGCCTTGTGACTCAGAAAACTGAATTTTGATGTTGCACACTTGCAGTTAATTTCTAAAGCATACTGAGAGTACAGAAACTAGGAACTTGAAGACAGCTGCTGGGATAGGACTGGAAAGTTCGTATAACTTGAAGAAATACCATTTTCTCTTTGAAAGTTTGTGATATACAGTGTATGTACGTATCATATCAGCTATATATTCTTTTGAACACTAGAACTTGAACACGAAGGATCGAGTTTTATAATAAATTCATATGATGTCTAACATGTTATCTTTGTGTAACACATTTTCTCAGTTCAAAACACAAATTTCATCTCATTTTAATATATACACACCATACCTATGTGCAACTTTTCGTAATGGTTGTGTCTCTAGACCACATTGTAGTGTGCTCTTGGATTCATCTTGTTTCTCGTAATACAATTCTTTCAGTCGAAAGACATTTTTCCGTCTAAACCACAGCAACTCAATTAGTTTTGAGAAAAATTATATTATTATGCCCTCATTTGGGTTCCATTAAATTTTGTAATGAAAAACGTGTTTCGGAATACTAATTTCATAAAGTACACGTGGTTAAAAAATAAGGAGAATATTTAAATTTACGTGCAACATTATTTTATGAGAGATAAGAAACGTAATTGTAAAGAATCATGTTATATGTATAATATTTGTAGACAATATTGATTGACAACATTCTACTTAGTATCGTCATATCGATCCACTTTAAAAAATTGTTTTCTACATCATAGACTTGAATTTTGACAACACATGATTATCAACCAATATGATTAATCATATTTGTATACTTAGCTTTATTTAACTACAAAATAGCATGCGAATTCACCCAAAGCACACCAGTCATGTCTAGTGATTTTAAAATATGTGAAATTAACGTAATATTTGGACAAAAGTCTTTAAATATATTTTTCACATTAAAATAATATTTAAAATAAAAATCATTACTAGAGACAAAGTGTAAAATAATTAAAGATCAAAGATAAAAATGTGACTAAAAAGTTGCATATATAAGTACAAAATTGAATAATAAAATTTACAAATTTTTAATTATATATTTCCTTAACTTTTACAAAAATTTTAATAAAAAATTAATATATATTTTTTATCTGAACGGCAAAACCAAACTTATCGCAAACTAATTACCACAAAAATTTTATGATAAAAAACATAAAAATGATTTTATTCATTTATTCCAAAACATCTCCCAAAGGTGAATACTGATACAGTTGCTTCTACGAGTTCAGTCCCCTGGGGATCTCCCGAAAACACCTGTTTTCATCAGTAAGTTCTACGAACTATTATGAATTTGCCAAATCCTACGTATGTGCCTCTCGTGATTTCGTATAAAGGGGTTGTTCGTTAATTTTCCTTGGAAATTTTTGTAAGAAGCTTCAATGGCTGTAAAGCTTTCGTCTTTGAGATTTTGCTGGAGAATTCCCAAATTGGTTTCTTCAAACGCCTATATTTCATCAATTTGTTGCGAAAATAAAATCCAATCCCACCCAGAAACCTATCAAAACCAATCAGATTCCTCTGAGTTTGAAGCAAAGATTCAATTTCTAAAGAACAAGCTTCATCCGGATAGTTTAGTTTCTGTTTTGGATAGCACGCCTGATTTGAACTCTTCAATAAAGCTATTTAAATGGGCTTCCCTTCAAAACCGATTTAACCATACCGCAGACACATATTATAGGATAATACTGAAGTTGGGCATGGCTGGAAATGTAGAAGAAATGGAGGGATTTTGTAATGAGATGGTAAATGATAAATGCTCGGGTTTCGGAGAATCTCTCTTGGCATTGATAGATTCATTTATTAAAAATCATAGGCTCAATGAAACTTTAAGGGTTCTCTATGTTATGAATTTAAGCAGTTTTAAGCCCTCCATAGGTGTATTTAATACGATAATGGGTGCACTTTTGGAGGAAAAGAAAGAATTTAAGGATGTGTTGTTTGTATATAAAGAAATGGTGAAATCAGGAATTCTTCCAGATATCGATACTATGAATTACCTGTTAGATTCATTGTTTGAGGCTGGGAGAGTTGATACAGCTTTGGATCAGTACAGAAGATTGCATAAGAAAGGATGTAATCCTAATAGTAGGACTTTTGAGATACTCATTAGTAGTCTTGTTGCTAGGAATCGAGTGGAAGAATCAATTATTTTGCTTGACGAAATGTTTCAAATTGGATGTGAGCCGGATTTGAGTTTCTATATCCGTGTAATACCTATATTCTATAGGTTGCAGAATATAGAGGTAGGCATGAAGTTGTTTAGGATGATGAGAGCTTCTAACATCTCTCCAGATTCAGCTACTTGTGCGGCTTTGATAAACTGTTTGTGTGAGTATCTTCATTTGGATGATGCTACAAAACTTTTTGAAGAGATGATAGATTGTGGCTGGTCGCCTGAAGAAGAAACTTTTTTGGATATAGTTAACGGTTTTTGTAAATTAAATAAATTTACAGAAGCTATTATGTTTTTGGAGGAGAAAAATGTAATTGACACTCCTCCATACAATACACTTCTTGAAGCCGTTTGTACCACTGGTAATTTTTCTATGGCAAACAGTATGTTTTATAGAATGTTTGGGAGGAATATAACTGAAGCTTCATCTTGCAATATCTTTATCAGATTCCTTTGTGAGAATGCAGCGATCAGTAAAGCACTGAAGTTTCTATGTAGGATGATCGTTTCATTTTTTGTTCCTGATTCTGCTACTTATTCTGCTCTTATTATTGGTAACTGCAGAGTGGGGAAGTTTGAGGATGCTTTGCAGTTGTTTTCCACCGTTAGATCTAAATGTTGGGTTCTGGATTCTGTCTCTTATGCTGAACTTGTTGAATGTCTTTGCCAGAGGGAAAACACTCGAGAGGCAGCCAAAGTCTTTTGCTACATGTCTAGGAACGGTTGTGCTCTTCAATCTACCTCATTCGATAAGTTGATCAAGGAGACCTGTGCAAGTGGAAAGGTCGACGGTGCTACCAGGTTACTGTCGATGGCTTACTACTCTGGTACTGTCTGTTTTTGTTCTACTTATAATAGTATCATGCAAGGTTTATTTAAGTTGGGCCACATAGATGATCTCTTGGTCATGGTTTCAAAGATGATGATAGTTGGTTGTGCATTTAATGAGGAAACTTACTGCACACTTATTCAGAGCATGAGTGCTCTCAATCAAGTAGCTGACTCTGTCTCTTTTTTCAACTTGATGCTTGAGGAGGGTTTCCTACCTTGTTCAGACACATTAGTTTGTTTATTGCGGTGTTTGGCTAAGTATTCTCAAGTGCACTTAATCTTGTCATCATTAGATAAGCTTACCTCCAAGCCCGAAATTCTTGATTCTGTGACTTACAACCTGTTGATTAATGGCCTCTGGGGAGAGGGATACAAAAATGAGGCAAAACAATTGCTGGATTTGATGTTGGAGAAGGGTTGGGTCCCAGATGCCACTACTCATGCGTTATTGATGGGTTCTGTTTCGAAAGAAGAATTTGAGATCCAAAAATCTGCTTATGAAAATAATGGCACGTGTGATGAGGTCAGTAGCATACTAGCAGAGGGCTTGGTGGAAAGATGACAGATTCCTCTCTCTTTCACATTGATCAGCTCTTGTGAAATACTTCTTGACCAAGAGCTGGTTGAACCACTAATCGAATGCTCTATTGCTAAATCTCGTGCGATAATGAATTGAGACAGCACGTTGTCAAAGAAGCTGACCCTTTGTGGCAGGTTTATTCATCTCTTATATCTTGTTTGCTTAGTGTTCCTGCAAATTGTCGTAAGTTGCTGAGGCCGCTTTATTTTTCTCTCAGGATATCATGCAACATTATTTCAAGGGTGCTTGGAAGTTCAAAGTCTTATTAAAGGATTATTCTATGTTTCCAGGCGCAAGTAACTACAGAACTTGAACTCCTTAAGTTCCATTAGTACATATACAACCTCAACATTTGTCCCAGAAATGTTTTCCTAGCTTCTTATAGTGTTTCTTGAGGGCTTAGCAGTGTCCTATGATGACATTTGAGTGCGGAGGGCTGTTTTACATTTACAATACCTTATCGGATAGTGGTTCGACCAACATAAATTATTCATTTAGAATTACGTACTGGCTTAGAATTTGATGCCATCTCTCTTAAAATTCTCTGTTCCCTGCTTGGATGGAGGGCTTATGCGAATGTTATCTGGCTATTTGCTCAATGGATCCCATGATATGTTGTATTTGCTTAATAGATCCCATTTGTGAGTGCTCAGCAGTCAGCAATTGATGCATAATGAAATAAGATAGTAGTTCTCCATTTTTCTTGGACTCAATCGGGGTTTTGTCCAAAACTATTTGGAGAGTGGAGAGTCAAAAGTTGGAGATTGCTAATTTAGGACTAAATCCTAATGTAGTAATGTCACGATTAACAACTTTTGTTTCAAGTTTATTTTTTAAAGTCACTGTGCTTAAAAAAATATATATTTACTTACACAGTGTTTGAGCTACATTATTCTTCCAAGAATGCATTTTAAATAGTGTTTTGATTGAAAATATGTGGTTAAAAAATAAGGAAAAAAATTTGGATTTACGTGTAATATTATTTTATTGAAGAATGTGTGGTTGAAAATGAGTATTGAAAGAATGAATTTTAGGAAGAATGTTAATTACTTATAAATGAAACTTTATGGGCTCCGTTAATGTCGACCCTAAATCTTGGATAAATGCATATAATCACGCCCTTTACAACACGTGGAAAATTTCAGATTTGCCGCGCAATGTCAACCCAAACAGCTTCAGATCTTGACATTTTTGCCAAACCCAAGGTTCGGACAATCCGAACCAAAAACAGTACACTCCGAACCTTATATTTGGCCATCTGGCCCATCACTAACTGCTCGCGCCTACATCCCGTTATCGCAGCCGTACATTTCTTCCTTGCCTAATTTTGACCGTCCGATAAAGCTAAAATATATTAATCATAGCCGGAAAACTGTACATCTTTTGTCTCTCTCTAGAACATTTTCTCTCTCTACAGTTGTATGAATTCCCGTAATTTTTCTATTTTTCTTCCAATTTCCCGGTTGATTTTCAGCAACGATTTCCTTGTGAATGCTTGATGTAGAAGCTGTTCTGGATGCTGAAATTCCACCGATTCACGGGGTATGTGCGTGTATGTAAGCATGATGTGATTGGAATTTTTTTTATGACTGAGAATATTTGCCAAATAGTTTTGAATTTTTGAACTGAGTGTTAAAAATGGATAAAACAGGAACCGTCGTTTGACTGAGATGGCATGCCAAACTGTTTTGTATTTTTGAACTGAGTGTAAAAAATGGTCAAGTAGTCTATATTGTAAAAAAATGAGATTGTGAGATTTTGAAAATCTATTATGGCGAGCGTGTATTAAATGCTGTGGGCGACGTGTTTACTCGTTGATGGTGATACGTGCTTGTTCATTTCGAGTGAGGATAGGGTGATTAATAAAACAACTTTGTAGGCCTTGATTCAGTGTATGTCGGAGCATTAAAGTCAATTGGACATCTGTGTTTTCCATTCAAGTGATGGCGTCGGTGGTGGAGAATCGATCGGTGGATCCGTTGCTAAAAGATCTGAGTGAGAAGAAGCAGAGCTTCCGTCGGAATGTCGAGTCACTGGCGGCAGAGCTCAAGGAGGTCCGCGGCCGTCTAGCTTCGCAGGAACATACATATGCTCGCGAAAGCCTAAACAGACAGGTTCTACTCTTTGTTTTTGGATCTATTTTAATTTTCATATAATTCACGTATATCTGCAAGTGATATGAATGAAATGATTTCAACCTTTTGTTTTAGTTCTAGTCAGTGTTGGGTGGGACACCTAATCTTTTCAAATCATGAATATTCAATGTATTTCTTCTTTTTTACTTTCAATTTATGTTCATAGGAAGCAGAAACTAGAGCCAAGTACTTGGAAAAAGAGATTAGTAGATTGCAGAGTAGTTTAGAGGACAGAAATCAGCAACTTTGGGCTACAACATCTGCGGCCCATATGGTACTTGCAATTCCCTCTATATTTGTCTGCATTTTTATGGTAATGGAATTTTGGCGAAATTGATGAACTGTAGATCTAATTTTTCATTTTGTTATATAGGGTTTGTATCACATTCTGATCCTCTTTTAAGGGTACTTTTTGGCTTTTTATATTTATTCTTTTGGGAAAGTAAGAATGATAATCATATATATACATGTTGTACTAATATACTATTATCTCTCCTTGGAATATTGTGGTACTATGCATGGTTCTAGTTTCTTGTCTCCTTTTAAAAAGCATTTAGTGTCCAAAAAAGAGTTGTCTTGGACTACTATTTGATTTCCAATGTTAGCACTTTCTTAAATGCAGCCATTTTTTTTGGTTTCTTCATTTTCCAATTATGAACTCTTAACTGTATCCACCTACCTTCTCAGTTATTCTAGTTTCCTTTCCCTTTTTTTATTATTGGCAATGATAAGAGTTGCTTTTAATGGAAAATTATGCTTTGTGGTTGAGGGAGAAAATTATGTTCAAGGAACAAACTAGAGGTTGAAGATAAGAAAGTAAGAGAAGAGACAGCTTTTCCATCATGTGGAATTGAGTAAATCCACTCAAATCAAATGCAAAAGTCTTTTAGTTAATTTCGTTCAATAAAGAGGTTACAAAGAATACATTGGGTTAGAATAATATGTTACGGAAAGGGACTAGGAGTAGGAGTGGCAATTTCTAACTACCAATAAATTGTAACATTAATTTTATATGACTCAGGTCCTTGAATAAAACTCAAAACAGTGGTAGAATTCGTCTCTTAATTCTCACAGACAAGAAATGCTACGGTTATAAAAATACTAAAAAATCACCATGAACTTCGATCATGACCGAAAAGGTTTTGTTCGTGACATTTAATAACCATCAAGTCAGGCTTTCAGTATCCTTCACTATTTGTATCACACTAGCTATGTAAACAAGTATGGTCATATATTTGTCACCTAGCCTTTTGATTAAGACTTGGATTCAAAGCTTGTAGCAGCCAATTGATAGCTATTGCAAAGTATGTTATCTTAATTAATATAGGTTAATAATTCTATATTATATTTTTGACTTCGAGTCATTATAATTTTAGAATATGACAAAATATTCATAGAACTCAGCTTGTAGTTATACAATTAGTTTTTTATTTTAAATGCTCTCTCAAACGTTTTTATGAATCAAGAATGGGAATAATGCGGCTAGAGCTGAAAACAATGAAGCACTTGCTATATTACTCAGGCTGTTCTGTGTAATATTTTTTACTTTGAAGCTTATACCTTGCTTTGGTGAGATGAAACGACTTGTCAATTTCCATTATCCTCGTCAGTAGCAAAAATTTATTCTTTGACCTTTTCAATTTATTAAAATTGTCTCTAGATAAGCACAAATATTCATGGTCAACTTTTTAATGCTTTCAAATCCATATCCTATTACAATCTAACTATAATGGACACAGACTCAAAACAGTGAGAAACTTTTTCACCTGTTTTATTCATTTTTATTTATTTTTTTTGGCTTGTACTTCTATGGTGAATACTCCCTAATTTCATGAGTAAAAATGGAATTTTGTTTTCTTACCTCGGATCTCTTGTATCTATCCACCATATCCTATTGCATACTGTGTTTTTCCTTAATCTTAATTCTGATCCTTGTTCTTTTATTTATAATGTAATATATAGTATGTGAAGGATTTGGATGATCTGAGATCGCAGCTTTCAGAAACTAAAGCAACTGCAGATGCAAGTGCACTATCTGCTCAATCTGCACAATTACAGTGTTCAGCATTGTTGAAAGGATTAGAGGTGAAAAATTGCTCTTTAAAAGAGAACGAGATTCGTGTGAATAAACTGGGACAACAATTAGATCTTCTGCAGAAAGATCTTCAGTCAAGGGAATTTTCTCAAAAGCAACTCAAGGATGAAGTCTTGAGAATTGAGCATGAGATCAAGAAAACATTGGCTAAGGCTGGAGCAAATAAAGATTGTGAGCTCAGGAAAATATTAGATGAGGTTTCCCCCAAGAATTTTGAGAAGATGAATAAGCAATTGACTGCAAAGGACAAAGAAATAGCCAAGTTGAGAGATGAAATCAGGATTATGTCTGCTCATTGGAAGATGAAGACTGAAGATTTGGAGTCTCAGGTTTGTTATCTTAACTTGTTTCGTAATAGGAACTCTTGAATTGGTTCTCTCATTAGATCCAAGATTATATTTTAATGACTCATATCTTGTATGTTCGACAGTTAGAGAAGCATCGTAGAGTTGATCAGGATTTGAAAAAGAAAGTCCTCAAGTTAGAGTTTTGTCTTCAAGAAACTCGATCTCAAACTCGGAAGCTCCAAAGGGTAATTTTCCCTTTATCTTTTATAACTGGTATTGGTATACCATGTTTGATGCATCCCATGGATTACTATTACGGATGGATGGAGCATATTGAAAATTGATTTATTAATTTACGGTAAATTTGCAAAGTGACGACTCTAATTCACTACATTGACATCGTTACTTCTATAACTATTCTTCTTCTTCTTTTCATTTTTCTCCCTGGTCATGTTAATTACTGATAGCATTCATTCTGTTTCATATCTATTTTACAGGTGGGAGACCGAAGAGATAAAGCTCTAAAGGAACTAAGAGATCAGTTGGCAGCAAAACAACAGGGTACACCAGTAAATGAAAAATATAACTTATGGGAAACTTCTGGTTTCAAGATTGTAGTTTCCATGTCAATGTTGATCTTAGTAGTATTCTCCAAAAGATAATTTGATCTAGTATTCTTGAAGATGTAATGTTATTGTTTATCTTTTCCTATTGTATACTAAGATCAGATTCATGGAAGTAAATTCGAGTAGAATAGTGTAGAAATTTGCACTCTGAGGGTCATTTTCTTTTGTATTCAACAGCATAACCCTCTTGTTATGCACAATAATTAGAATGAAGTGGCATGTGTGGCCTCAAGTTTAATGCAAATATGGAATTACATATTCTGTTAAGTGGGCAGCAAATAATTTGAACCACCTTTATTTATATATATATGGAACATGCTATTACACCTAATAACCTATTCAATTTCAGCTTCTTCCTTTCCTGCTCCTATTGGTTGCTCCAGGTATTTTTTAGGATGATCTAATATGTATCTGTAGAACTAGTAGAGTACATGTACAAAATGCATTTAGCGCTATTCAGTTCGAAACTTCAGCAGAGGATGGCTGATGAGAACCGAGCACCAGGAATTCTTGACTATTTCCTTTTCCTGCAAAGATTTGTACAGACCAAAACTGATACACTACTTGTGCAATGATCATCGGATCCATTTATGTATGGAAAAGGTTGCCTCTAGATATCAAAAACAAATCTTCCTGTGACAATGGATGTCACTGCAATGATGTAGCCAATAAATGGCTGCAAACTACTTGACGTGGAAATTGAAGCATTGGCACTTGAAGGGCTTTCACCAAAGCCTGCTGCAGTGCCTCCATATCCAGAATTGCTATTATTTAAGATTGATGGACTAATTGAACTGCAAAAGAGAAGAGAAGAAAAGAATGCCATAAGATGATTACTTCATAATATTGAACTAGCAATCAAGGACATGTTTGATATTGTACAGTAATTTCCGACCTAACGAAAACATTACTGCATGAGGTTTAGTGTTTACCCAGGGGCTGCTCCGGATGACGATGATGTTGTTGGCATTGGAGTTGCTGTGATTGGGGATGTGGTTGATGATGATGATGATGTAGAGGATGCTGACGTTGGGAAAATGCAAGAACCAGTGCCTGTGTGAAAAAAGCAGAAATTCGTGAAAATAAGCTTTTGACTTATTTTTCATGCATATCAGATATGTCCATCGATATTATTGTGCTTACTGGGATTAACATTTGTTATCACAGCAGTACCCCCGAAATCACAGCTAGTTTGCACTGGATTCTTCTGATAATAGCTATTAAAGGCAAACGATGCATGGTATTGCAAACTGTTAGGATTATAACAGCTTGCACCCTGCTGGATTGCCGAACAATCTGCACCTCCAATCCCACAAGCGTAATCAAGTGCTGTCTGAAGTGTGGTTTCGGGCACTCCATTCTTCACAATGCACCAGCTCTGCCCCGGAAGTGCAGGTGCACTGGTGGTCGGGCTAGTGGTTGTGGGAGGAACCACTGGATTTGTGACAGGTACACCTCCTGTTGTACCTGTCGGGGTGGGATAAGTTGTCACCGGATTACTCACAGGCTGACCTCCCGAACCAGTACTAGGACTGGTGACTGGATTGGTTATTGGTACTCCGCCGTTGACTGGATTGGTTACTGGTATTCCGCCATTGACTGGACCCGTATTCGGGACTGGGACAGGCACGGGGTTCGTGAAAGGTGTAGTCGGGGTAACTGTGATGGGGTTTGCAGATGGAACGGTATCCGGTGCGGGATTGGCCGGAGGGGCATTGACTGCTGGGGTTGTCACAGGATTAGTCACCGGAGTTGTCACAGGATTAGTCACCGGAGTTGTCACAGGATTAGTCACCGGGGTCGGAGGAAAGGTCGCTGGTGCATCGGTGAAATCATGTCGAATAGCTTCGTAAAGTAGTCCTCTGTGCATCATATGTAATGCGTGTTGTTCTTGTCTTTGAAATTCTTTCTGCTTAATAGCTTTAGCTGGGAACAGAAATATCCCTGCAAATGATACAATTTTCTCGGGTCAATCTAATTTTGTCAAGTCCTTATTTGATTGCAACGAATTCCATGAAAAATGTCACATCCGGAGAAAAACAAATTTCACTCTGACCGTTTGATTGCAACGTGAAAATGGAAATCGAATTCTAAGATACAATAATTTTAAACTCCATTTTATTTGTTTTCATGGAAAACGAACTTCTATGAATTTGATGGATTTTTATTTTCCAACTAACATGAAATTTGAATTCTTTTTCATACTTGCCTATCAAACGGACCCTTATAGTGTATTTCGCTATGATTTTAATACTGTTGACACAGACACTTAAAATAATTAGAGAATTTGTATGAGTTTTGTCCCTATAAATTACATAGAAAAAGATCTAATTTATATGTATAAATAATCATAAAACCAATATTCTTTTTCTATAGTAATTACACGATCAAACTAACAGAAATAATCTTTGCTTCTAAGATAACCAAAAAACCTTATTTCAACCGAAGAGCCAGAAAATTATTTATGCATGTTTTACAGTCTAACACTCCGATAATTCAAAGATGGTAAGATTTTAAATTTCTTTATAAGGATAATAACTGCTATTTTTGGAAAGCCCGTAACTTTGCTTATACATTTACTTTCAATACGAATTAGCAAGTACTTAGCATGGAAGAATGCATATAAAGCCCTGCAAATCAGGCTCAGCTAAACCTTAAATTTAACTCGAATTTGCCTTCCTATCAACTTCCATGTAACAGTACCGAGTTAAGCCTTATTCTCAATAAATTTGAATGGATTCAAGAGAGTATATACTTACCAGAAGAGCAGAAACAAATAATAGACAGGAAGAATAAGAAGAGAAACTGTGGAGCCATATTTTAAGAAGAAGTTGTACAGTTTCTGGGTTAGTATCCAAATGGATATTTAATGCCAATTACAACACAGTTTTTAAAACAAGAATGAAACGAGTTGGGCATTCAGACAGAGCAAAAAAGTTTAGAAGATAAAGGTGAGAAAAGGATGAAAAAGCAAAAGGGAGAATATGTGATGACGATGATAAAGTAAAGGAATTCCTTTGTGATGAAGAATGAAATTGAATATATTTTGCCTCTCTAAAGTCGAAAGAATCAACAAAAACAGCCCATGTTCAATATCTTTCCAAATATTAGCTCGAAATAAGGCAAGGTGGTGAGGCACATGCATGCTCAAACGTAAAGAAGAGGATAAACCTTATCTCAATTTAATCTAAATAAACTTTATTATTATGTGTTGGAATTGTTCTCCTGCCCACAGTGGGCAGAATAAGACTGCCCACCTGCTGATGTGGCAGGAGAACCCAATGTTAGGTTCTCTCCAAATGTGGGTTCTCTTCGAGTGGGCAAAATAAGACTTCCCACAATGGACGGGAGAACGGGACTATATCGTGTCTACTAGTTTCGGGTTCCATCTTAAAAAGGTCATGGGCTCTCTTGGAGTTCCATGTTAAAATGTCAACCTTAATAAGAGGAGTAGTCCAAATCTTTATAAGTTAGTTTAGATTTTCATCTTTATTCGATGTAGGATTTTATCTCTTAAATCCATACACGAGTTCATACGCCCACTTAAAGGGAGGTGGATGACTTGCCTTCTTTGATACTTGAGTTTAGTCGTGGATTGAAAATTGAATTGACTGTGTTTTGGATTCATTCTAAATGTACGTGTACTTTACCTTGTTTGACAGAGCATTTTGATGAAATATGTGGTTAAAATATAAATTAAAATTGTAGGTCCAATAAAATGACTTTAAAAAAAAGGCTTTACCGAACAAGATCTTGAGTATGGTGGGAAAATGAGTATTCTTAGACACAGAAAATAGTCCATGTAAAGTAGGCCTTATGCAAGGATATATGTTAGCTTGAGGTGGTCGATATTGACGGCTTTCTCTTGCACTAAAATACATCCATAAGCCATATTAAATGCAATTTCGAGGGTGACAAAGTGCCTCGTTGTTGATTGAGTAGTTTAATCAAGCACAACTAAGTTACTCAACCCGACTTAATTTGCATAAGAATTATGGTGACCTAACTTGAGAACCTTTTTGCTAGTCTTTCCTCGACTTTATGTAGGCTGGTCTAACTCATGCTACATGCAATTGATGGTATAACACTATTTATTAGTAGGCAAAGTCAAAACTATATCTTTTTTTTTTCTTCTTTTTGCCCCCACAAGCAACGACGCAGTGGTAAAGTATGAGGGTTCTCTATGGAGTATCGGGTGTTCGAATCCCCGCGGTAGCTAGAAGACAACATTTATGTTGGAAGACAGATGTCCTGTGGTAGCAAAGTTATGGTGCGCTTTATCATCACTCCGGGGGTTATGTCCGCACGTCGTAAAGGGAGGTCCACCGGGAGGAGAACTGCTTCCCGAATATCCGGTCCAAGTGTGTATAAGTTGTGATCGCATTCGAATTTACTCGGGTGGCGAACCAGGGGGAAGGCCGTCACTCCTCATAATTAGTCGGGTGAAACTCAAAACACTTTTGAGCAAAAAAAAAAAAGGGCCAAAGCTATATATCTTATCACCACATATTGTGGACCTCATCTGAAAAATGACACAGTGCCTAGTCCTCCAAATCTTTTAAGACCCACATTTTATTTTACATACATCACTGTTTCTTTACATCATCATGAATGGATAGAGATTGTTTAAGTGCAGTTGTTTTCATCTAGAATCGATCACAAAATTCTAGTAATTTTCTGACTTTGGACACAAAAATAATTGATCGAGCTACCCAAGTGGACCAGAGGAAATATTCTCGGAGAGACTGCAAGGGGATCTCATAACCCATAAAAGGAAAAATGAAATGAATCAGAAATAGGATTAACTAATGATCCAAACTAAAGGGGGACAAATGACTAGAAGAACATAATTTTTGCTTCTTCTTCTTCCTTTTTTTTTTTTCCAAGTTAAGTCTCTTTTTAAGAGTGACAAAAATGGCCACTAATAATTTACATGTGGAGTATGAAATTTATCCTTTTTATTATTATTATTATTATTATTATTATTATTATTATTATTATTATTATATTTTTATTTTTTTTTT